TTAACCGGAGGCCGAGGACCTCCATTCCATTCATTCATCGAGCTGCTCACGAGCAGAGAAACCGTACGTGTTCAGTGTTCTAGGCTTCTAGCTAGCTAGTAACTCTTGGTGATTGATGGTGTTGGCAATAATGGTAAGGTCAGATCTAACTAGGGCGATGAGGGGTTGAAAATTGAAATAATCATGATTTGAAAAGGCGCGGCTAACCCTATGCTTAGACAGATACCAATTAGGAAACGTCAAAATGTCTCGCCTAGAGGTTTCGTAGAGAATTAGATATTGGAAACACGTTACACGTCGACGGGTGATGTGACACATAGTTGCATCCTATGCATAATTAGATAGAGATAGAGATAGTCAAAATAACAAAGGATATCAACATCATCTAGGAACAAACTTTTCTTTATCAATATTTTCAATAGTTGAAGAACTTTATAGCGGTTGAACTATATGATTATATGAACATGTCATAAACCAGTTGGTCCCAATAACTCGAGTTGTTGGGAGAAGGTTATGTTGGATCTTATACCAGCCCGTGTATGATACTTAACCACTTCCTTACACGCCCCCTCAACGAAAGTCGACTCATGGGCTTGAAGTTTGCACAGGCCGACATACCATGTTCTTGAACGACAACGGTTAATATTGGGGGTCGTGAGGACTTGAACACGTGACCTCAAGGACAAACTAGGCTTGATACCATGTCAAGAACCAGTTGATCCCAATAACTCGAGTTGTTGGGAGAGGTTCAATCGTGGATCATATATCACACACTAACACGTCCCCTCAAAAGAAAGCCACTCACAAGGGCTTGAAGTTTGCACAGGCCTAAACACAAGAATACCATGTGCTTCACAAATGTGGGTCTTCGGGATTGGAACACAAGACCTCTCGGTCACAGAAGGCTCTGATACCATGTCAAGAGAAGATTATGCTTGCTGGATCTTATACCAATCTCTAACATGTAAGGAAGTGATTAAGTACCATACACGCGCGGGCCGGTATAAGATCCAACATAACCTTCTCCCAACAACTCGAGTTATTGGGACCAACTGGTTTATGACATGGTATCATAGCCTTTTGTGACCGAGAGGTCTTGTGTTCGATTCCAGGTGACCCCCATTTGTTAAGCACATGGTATTCTTGTATTCAGACCTGTGCAAACTTCAAGCCCTTGTGAGCGGCTTTCGTTTGAAGGGGCGTGTTAATGGTGGTATATGATCCACGATTGAACCTCTCCCAACAACTCGAGTTATTGGGAGCAACTGGTTCTTGACACTTGTGAGCTAATTTTCTTATTATTAAGTGTTAAGTAAGTTAGTAATCATTTTATTAACTTTAGCGTACAAGTGTTGCAAATTGTCATTTCATTCATCATGTAGTACAAATTTACTAATTTTCTTCCAATGCCTAGACACACTTATGCGAGCCAGGCGTTAGGTAAAACTGCAACGCTCGCCTTACCCCCTAGCGCATTCTTGAACCTTGAAAAATAACTCAATGCAACTGTTTTCCACGATTTAGACAAGGATTTTCATCCTACCACGTTCTACTGTTTGCTCAATATATGAATACACACGTTACAATCTTAAATCAAAATATAAGGCGAGTTGTAGTCCCTTTTGGAGTATACGTAGCTCCACCACTAATGGATGAATTAGTTTAATTGAGCTCATTGTAAGTTGTTAAGTCAAGGAGCCGAAGACTAATCAATCCAATATGATTCTAAAGAGTGGGAACCGCTTACATGTCCACCTTTGATTTTACGGGAGCCTTGGTAAAACAGATATGTATATAAAGAAGTTGAGTTGTGATCCTCAACATACCAAAACCAAAAATATTATATTCTTCTCCTTATAAAAAAGTTTGGACGTCTCACCTGTCGTATATGAACTAAGGAGGTTGTCTATTTATCTTGGTTTAGGAAGCTGGTCATAAAATTTCATGGATTGTACTCTCTAGGAGTATCGTCCCGTCCAGATCATTTTATATTTTCCGCATTAAGTCCTTATCGACATAAAACCATGTATTCCTATTAATGTTTAGTAATCCCACAAGTTAAATTTTCAGGGAATTTCATAAGTTTGATTTTTAGAAGTGGTATCGTAATGCCATAGCCCTTCTATCTTGTGAAGATTACAGGAGGGAAACGGAAGGGAAAGACAGTGAGTGGGACAGAAGGTTCTTTCTGAAACTAATTAATGATCCACTAACCAAAATCTCTCACTAATTAATGCGATTGTTACGTCAAACAAGGAAATGAAATTAAATGTTAATCAATTAGTTAATTAAAGCAAAATAGGGACCGAATTAGGAAGGAAATATGAAATATGAGATTTAAGCGGACTAAGTCCACATTTCCCTTATTTAGCCCACTGGTCCATTTTATTAAGACAGGGCCACAAAGAGGGATGATGAGGAAATGAACTATCTTGGCTTTGGGTGATTATTTTGGCGAGTTCATTCTAAAACGTTCTTCGTGGCATTTGCCAAGGCCTTCCAATGATATAAGTCCAACGAGAAAATGGCAAAATTGTAAAGAAAGAACATAGCTTTTCCCCCCTTCTTATTATTATTTTTCTTAGCACCAACTCCATGCATTGATTAATGAACAAATTAAATTTCACAAATTAAAAATTTTAAAATTCCTTTTGGTCGAATTTTTTTTCTAGAACAACTCACCAAATTCATTCGTTAAACATACTAATATATCCCGATCATATTCGTTTTATAATATATAAAATCATAGATAATTAGATAATAATCACTTTAACATTTACAATCTACACCAATATAATTAAACCAGTTAGATGGTCGAAAACAGACCCGACCACACGATAATTCAACATTTAGCTAGCTAGCTACCATCATATTACTTCTTCACTCTAAGCTAGTGCACAAATTTCATCTCCCATATAATAAAATGAACCCCTAATAAAATATACGAATCCTACATAATACAACACCAAACCAATGAAAGATTATTCAAGAACTTCATATCACAACAAAAACCAGAACTTGAAAAAGCAAAACCAAAAGGGTTACCCTACTTATGAAACTAACCCTAAACTCGCACTAAAATGGGGAATAGAAAAAGAAATGCCCCACACCATTACAACACTAGATGCCTTTACATATACTCCATTATCGTTCATTTCTCTATTATAATTTTATAATAATAATTTTTATTATTTTATTACATGTTAGTTATAAGTTTGTTACCTACGGTAGTCCAAATGGGAATTAGACAATGACCTTTCCTGGTGGCTTTGTTTGCGTTGATAATAGAAAGTGGAGGGGACAATATTATTATTATTATCAAGGGAAAAGAATTACTAATTTCAATTTGTGTGGCGATAAAAAAAAATAAACAGCGATATTTATTCGTGGCGGATGTTTTGGAGCCAGCCACCTGTCCCGAGCGGTCGCCGTCGTCGCCGGGGAAGGCCGCTGGATTGCCTGCCATTTGGCCGTCGGACAGTCGACGTCTGACACTGTACGGAAAGACAAAAGAAAGATTGATTGATGTGTACATTGCTTTGGGAAGGTGAGGTTGCAATCATGTCTCTGTACTGCTTACTGGATTCACTCGTTGAATCTTATCCGATCCACTTCTTCTCCTTCCTTTGCTCATTTTGTTAATTAGCATGTGTGTTATAGTGATTTGATTTCTTATATTTGGATGAAATGGTTGTTTGGACATTTTCAAGCAAATGTGTTTATATTATTGTATCGTCTATATTTTTCAATTCTCCTATTTGAAACAAAAATGTTGTTCGACTTGTGGTAATAACACGTTTGGATAGACTCATGGTTAAAAACTAGCTATTTGCATATAAAACTCATACGTCATATGTTTTTCTTTGTTCGTAGAAAGACGGATGTTGAATCATATAAATGAAGCGATCATGTGTGGTGCTCATAAATTCAAACATGAGTTCATTGTCACATGATCGAGCCAGATGCCCACATCGATGAATGTGTGTCTAAAAAATGAACATCAAGACCCTTAAAAGCCAATAACTTGGCTGCAAAATTACTCTCTTTATACACATGAGAGATTGCTACCTCTCAATCATAATTGAGTATATACCAATTTGTTGTGCCAGGAGTCCTTTACAATGGACATTTTCCTCAGAGTATTTGATTTATCGATTGGAGAGTAATAGAGTCTAAGTTCAACTCCACCTTTCTGTATCCTTTCTCGCAATCAATCAGTCGACAACTCCTTTAGTTCTGCCCGTGTCGCACCTGCCAAGATGATCCCCGAGAGGACCACCTGTTGCGGCATGTCCACTCCAATATGTGTTCAACGGAGCCCTCGGTTTGAACTTGTATCCATACTTCCTTAGACGGATTCCACACTACCTGCGCAAATTCACACGAATACCAAATCTCTCGGAGTACTACTGATCTTTTCGGAACTTTGATGTGCCTGATGGTAAATGTGGAACCGTGCTCTTAATAAGCCATGTGTTTGGTTTATCGACCAACGAACTATACTGATTTTTAGAGAGATGCCATTGGGGTGGACAACCTTTCGGCTTCACATTTCACAAGTTGAATTGGACCAAAGCCAATTCTCTGAAAGAAAGGAAATGTATTTGGCGTAGCCGCTCGTTACAGCTGTGTGGAAAACGATGGTAGGGGACTTAGGGGGTTGATTTGATTTGATTTGGTTGGCACTTGACACTGCAGGAGGGAGAGTGGTTGAGAAAAGAAAGGGGGGGGGGGGGGGGGGGGGGGGAAAGCTTGAAAAATACTGTGCGAAGGAAGAAAAAGACTGACCATTTTTTTACTGTGGAAACGTGAAAGTAGCAATGAACAAGTGTTAGAGTTGTTTAAGATTGTTTTCTTTCTGTTATGATGTCAAATATCGTTTTGCTAAGAAGGCGTGCATGAACAAGTGTTCTTAAAAATGTGACTAACATACATTATATTAGCGAACCATGTAACTTAAGTATGTAATTATTTCTTTATATTTTGCCTTCCATTTAATTGTAACATCATTTCATTTAATTTGTATACAGCAAGCACCCAACTGTAATGGCATTGTAGTATTAACATTTCCATCTATATACATTGGATACATAATTTCTCAAATAATTTATATAGTTACATTAATTGCTTGCTTCTCACTCAATTAAAAATCAAATCCAACCTCATATCCTGATCACGTTACTAATCATCATCTGGTGGTCCACACTAACTTATGGTGGACGGCTGAAAAAAAATACCTAATTCAATCCCCAAAAATATATGAATTATATCTCCAACCAACCACAACGACGTCGTGCCGTTTCTCTACCGAGCTTCAAGCACAGTGACGGTAACGTCATTGACGGAGCTGGCGCCATTCGAACTCGTCGACGGCTCCAAACTGTTGTACCCTCGCTTCAATATGAACGCCGGTTTGCTCGGCGTCGGCGGCGCCTGAGCCGTCTCGATGTTGCACAACATGAACACGACGTCGAACATGTTGGGCCGGTCGGCCGCCGATTCCTGGACGCACAGCAGCCCGATTTGGACGCACCTCAGCACGTCTTGGTCTGGGTACGGTTCGCCCAGCAACGGGTCGACCATCTCCAGTGCCCTGCCTTGCTTCCACAGCTCCCAAGTCTAGTGATGAATCATTAAGCATAGGGTACATTTTTAAGTATTGACAATATGGTGACAAAGTGAATGGAAGTTCAGTGTGGGAGAAAGATTAAACTAGCTTAGGCTAGGTTGTGGAGTATTTGAAATACTTACATAACCGACCAGACTCGCGGAGGTCGTTTCTTCGTAGTAACTGCTGTTTTTCCTCCCTGTGATGGTCTCCAGTAGAAGGACGCCGAAGCTGTATACATCCGACTTTACAGAGAACATTCCTTGCATTGCGTACTCTGGCGACATATAGCCACTGCAAAATTCCACGGATGAGGTTAAGTAGTGTCTTCTTTAACATCTTATTAAAGAGATCTATCATTCTCCTATGACACTCACTAATTGTTATTGAGAGTGGTGACACAGAAATTATAAATAGCATATCCATGAACTGGGATAGTTAAATGCCAACGTATGTGTACTTACTATGTGCCAACCACGCGGTTTGTGTTGGCCTGGTCTTGGTCGACTCCAAATATTCGCGCCATGCCGAAATCAGAAATCTTCGGATTCATCGAAGCATCCAACAGGACGTTACTGGCCTTTAAATCTCTGTGTATGATTCTCAGTCTTGAATCTTCATGCAGATACAAGATTCCTCGAGCTATGCCACATATAATGTTGTACCGAACCGACCAGTCTAACAATGCCCTCTTTTCATCATCTGGGATTGGAGTCAAATTTGGAAATAACATATGCATAGGTACGTTATTGTAGTATTGGAGATATTTTAGACAGAGTTGTCAAAACCAACAAAGCTTTACCAAAAATGAAGAAGTCCAAGCTTTTGTTAGGCAAATATTCGTAGACCAACATCTTCTCGTGTCCTTGCACGCAACAACCTAGAATCCTTACGAGATTCTTGTGTTGGAGCTTTGCAATGAGCTCGATCTCGTTCTTGAATTCTTCTGCTCCTTGTCCTGAGTACTTGGACAACCTCTTAACTGCAATTTCATTTTCTTTGTATGTGCCCTGGAAAATGTACTAATCATTCGTCAATGTTGCTGTTAATGTCTAACCCTAATCGAATCACGATTACCATGAGATCAATCCCAAAATGCTTTTGGCTTGACAATAAATTGCGAAGTTCTTTTCATGCTAAACAAATGAAAATTTGGGAGTGGGAGTGATGAGTTATGAAGATAACCTTGTAGACAGAGCCGAATCCACCTTCTCCTAGCTTGTTTGCTTCGGAGAAATTATCTGTGGCGGCAGCAATCTCACTGAGATGGAAGAAGGGCAAATCCATATTTCCTCTTCTGCTATCCTTTTCGGTTATGGATCCTTCTGGGTTAGTTGTGTCGAAAAAGAACGAAAGTTTGTCCATTCTGTCTCGAGCTGCTACATGGTTTGAAGTTTTTTTTAGGCACGAATGAGTTCATCTTACAACATACGTATGCACAACCACATAGTCAATGGAATTCGAAAATGGAGCTATGTACATACCTTTCCTATACCTCCTTACCAGGCAAAATGCTAGAAAAATGACCAGGAAGAGAGCTAGTAGAACTGAAACAATCAGGACGGCTTGCATTCCTGGATTATGAAAGGGCCCTCTGGACTTCTTGTTGTAAGAAGCTGCGAAAGAACACAAAATGAGCGAAACACGAAAACTCAAATTTGGCGATCGATTGGTTTTCAAATGCTCAATCTAAGATGTTGTGAATACGATGATCTGTACTTAAGAATGGGTCAACAACTCGAAATTGGATGATCACTAATTATCGGGAACAATCTTCTCGAACTGCTCTTGATAATGGTACTGCTATTGATAGAAACCTAGCCGACTCAAAACCCTAGTACTAGAGCATAACCATAAACCACTTACTAGAGTTAGTTATACTAACTAAAAGGTTTCTTGATGTTGTGTAGTAGTCATGGTTGATTGTCCTTTTCATTAACTAGTCATCATTGATTCTTTCAAAGATGTATATGCTCATATGAAAACTACTTGCTACACGCTATAAACACCATAATAGCTTTGCATCACAAAGACTTTCTTTAATCCTTTTTTCCTAATCGTTAAATATTTATAACATAAACCCATCTCTAAGTTCAATCACTACCAAATTTGACCAAACCCTTAATGTCACTGGACAATGTCACAACATTGTGGACAAAACTTAAGAAACAAGACAACCAAACAAAATTTAATGTATTATCATAAAAGAATTGACATATTACCTAACACACTGGCGTTGACACGAACATAAATGTCCTGCCCACCATTGGTATACGTTCGCGTGTCCACCAAGTCACCGTACCATCTCAAGCACCCAGTCCCGTTTTCGTCCGCGCTCGTGTAAGCCTGGCACGTGCAATTACTCAAACACCCTTCCTCGCACGCTTTCAATCCCAACCCCATGTCGGCACGTGCCATCTTCGTGTCGGGCACCTTCACACGTGCCACCTTCACGAACCCTTCCCCGCTCCTGCATGTGGAAGCCCCCGCCCGGCTCACGCAGCCGCCCGAACCGTCCCTGAGGAACCACTCTCGGGGCGACTTCGGCTCGTACCCGGGTAGGCACTTGCAGTAGAAAGTGTCCGCCTGGTACGGGTCGCAGTTGCTGTTGGGCCCGCACAGCTGGTAGTTGTCGCACTGTTCCTTCGGGGCGGACCAAAACTCGACCCACCTACTATCGCGCCCGTTCCAAGTGGACCGCCTCACGAGCCCCGACTCGTCCACCATCATCCTCGTCGCGATCGACATGTTCGACACCACCCCGTACATCACGAACACGTCGTCGTCGCCGTCGTTCTCGAAGCTGACGTTGAAGATGAAATTCTTGGTCATCTCGGGAACCCCGCTCCATCGAGCACCCGTCCACGGTCCGCCCCGCCACGCAGGGACCGAGCCGTTCCTGTACAGGAACAACTGCGGGTAACCCGTCGGGTCGATCCGGTACGAGACGGAACCCGACCCGGGGTCGTCTTCCGACTTCCACGAGGTGAGTGACCAATTCGAACCGATTGTCCGGTTCAACCCCAATTTCATATACGGGAGCAGAGTATCCGTCGGGAAATCGAAGCTCTGCCACAATACCCTTTCCGTCTCTTCTTGTACCACCACCAAATTCCCCGAATCCAGAAGCCGAGCGGCGAAATTCCCAGCTGGGAGTTTTGCCGACCAGACGAGTGAAGTTCCATTTGCAGCGTATATACCGAAATTGCCGCGGGAATCGAGGGACAGTAGACCGGAAGTGTCGTTGAGAGGAGCGTCTCTGTTCGCGACCCAGACGACGGTTTGCTCCGAAACGTTGTGGTACCATATCCCGATGTACCGGCGGATGGAGTTCTTGGGGGAGAAGAAGCCGAGGGAGAAGGTTTGGCGGCCGGAGACCAAAACGTCGCCGTCTCGGAGGGGATTGTTGGGCTTGATGGTGTCTGTCTCGATTGAAAACGAAAAACAGGGGAGAAGAAGAAGCAGGGGAAGAAACTGAAGGAGGAATGATGGGTTGTTCATTGTTTTTTCTTTGTTTTTTTTGTTTTGGTTCAGCAGAGATCAAAGGTGAAGCTGCTGCCATGGATTGTAGTACTTAATGATTGGTAGGTGACGCAGTTGAGAAAATTGGAAGTTGGTTGGGGCTTTCAATTATGGAGAGTGGAGCCGGGAGAAATTGAAGGATATGATGCTAACATCTGGTGAAAGTTTGCTGATATTTTTCTTTCTGTTCTGTGTTTGTTTCACATCATCGTACAAGGTTTTGTCGTCAATTTAGTTTAAGACTCGAGGAGTGGCAGATGGTTCATGGTTGTTTTGGGGGTTTACTGTAGAATGGCAATCTGACTCTGAGTCAAACGACGGGTAGAGTATCAGGAAGCTGTGTTTTGTGACGTGGAAGTGACATGATGTGGCGTGTACTCTTGTGATCCAAGAAACAATTGGTGACGTGGGAGTGAGAGAGCTGCAAGTAGGAATGGCGATAGGGCAGGACGAAATGATGACTGACGAGGAATTTGTATAGTTTCTGGTTTAAGTTAGTTTTTTTGATCTTATATACTGTTTCACACATCTACCTTCAAAATCTGCAAAAGTTTTCATGAAAACAATGCCTTATGATCATACATTTGATGACATAATCGTCGAATCTATCAAATAATTTGCTTCGATTCATTTGGTGATTACGACTTCATGTTTTGTTAAGTCGGTAGAAACAAACCAAACAGAAAATGACAAAGACTTGACACCCACTTTGCTTCTTTGCTATCATTTGCGGTTAATCTAAGTCAATTTGGCATTTCATGTCACGAGGTCGATTGGTTCATATCAACATATGCTACTCCGCATAGCATCACCGACGAAACATCACCAACGCGATTAACCACATGATTGAAGTGGTAGACCGAAAACATCCATCGGATGAGAGACACTCCTCTAACCAAAAGATGGAAAACAGTCTTGCCACTATGAAGACACAATTGACCGGTTCATGCCACCAACATCTATAGTTTAACCCAAGTCATGGGATGGGAGTTATACTTTATCCTAAGATGAATCTTCGTCTGAATTGTGCCTTTGTGCAGAAAGTAAAAAAGTGTTTTACCGGTCCTCTTAACTTTGCTTCTTTTTTTTTTCTTCTCGATCGGCAGTTTCATGAGAATATTTAAAGTATCTTCTTTTGACTTTTCAGTGACAGTGAAGCTTACCGAAAGAGAAGGGAATCACTTGTTTATATTTGACCCCATGACCCAAATGAAGGCTAGGACAGGGACTCCGTGACCGTGGAGCGGCCGGAGACTCAATCAAACTTGGAAGGTTACGATCTTTACATACGAAGTCGGAAGTTACACATATTGTTGACGTAAACATGATGAGAGAAGCAATCTGAAAACGGAACTCGGGACTGTTGGGCCGCGTAGTTAAGCGTATTTGGGCCGCGGGACCAAGAAGAATATGTCAGTGGACAAGGCCCAATAAGGAAGCCTGGTCCGACAGGAAAGATCGGGTCAGCGGACGGTCCTTGACCAACGCTAGGCCCGAAAATAGCCAGGGGCGCCTGACATAAAGCGACTGGCCAACACAGAAAAGTAAAGATCCGTTGAGATACGCCTGATGTGTCAGGTAAGACTAAGCATTTATTGCCGGTCACAGCCTCACAGGCGGCCTGCAGAAAGGCTAAAAGCCTGCTCAGGGCGCCTGACACGGCATTTAATGCCTCAACCACCCTTGAACCAAGTATAAATACAGAGTGAGTGCATTAATGGTAAACTCAACTACTACTCATCTCTCTATCATCAATTCATCTTTCCTCCCTTTCTCTCTCTAACTTAAGCTTCGGAGAGTGTCCCGGGCAACCGCCCCGGACCCTTGTTTTGTAGAGTATCTGGAGTGCCCCCTTCTATCCAGAAACAGACGCCTCGCTCCAGCTCCACAAATCGCCTAGTATCTACTAGGCACAAACAGGGACCTTTGAGATCGAATAAAGATTCAAAACATTAGACGTACACGAGCCAAAATTCATATAAATTGAGCAAGACCATGTATGACCAGGATGACTGGATGAAGCTTGGGTGAAACTAAGTGGAGGTCCGAACCGGTTGATATCGAAGAATCAAGGGATGAGTTTCAAATATCTGTCCTACATCCATTCGTGAAGAAAGAGCGAATGGAAAGTTATGTTTGATGATGTAGAGAAATTGTTGAACAATATAGATGATTTTCTTACTATATAGCGTTAGAGTTCTATCGAGCTTCGATCGTCGATCATCGAGCTTCCAAATCGGTGATGGTCACATTATTGATGGAGGGAACTCTTGGTCGAACTGCGATAGCGGAGGAGTCTGAATTTGCATATTTGCTTCTTGGAATGAATACTACGGAGCCACCGTGGCCGCCACCACTACCTTGTCCGGTACGAAACCTGCTACTTCCTCAAGACTAACCCCGACTGTACCTGATGGAGGCCGTCGACCCCGACGAGATGCGTCCATTGCCGCCCCAATTCTCCTATGAGAACCGCAAGCTCAACGACCGGGTCGACGCATACCGACCAATAGCGATTCAGTAATCTAATGATTAGAGGTTCATAAATCCAATTATGGGCTTTCGTTATTGTAATGAGAAAATTTTGGGCTTTTGCACTTAACAGTTAAATCTAAGCCCATACCAAATCTTTGTTTGTCATTATAAGTTCGGCCCATTTTCACACATTTTAGGCATAAACAATTAAACACCAAAATCAGTTTCTTCAATTATTATTTGGATCAAACTCGGCTCCTTTGTTCTCTCTGTTATCTATACGAATTGTTTCTTCTTAGGGTTCGTTTCTTCCTTCGGGGAACTGTAACTGCAAGAGGAAGTTGGCGCCGTTTTCCATCGCATAAGTTACAGCGCCGCCGACACTCGTCGCCACCGTCTTCATCTGCAGCAATCTCATATCTCCATTCTTTATCCAGAGTGTTTCGGTTTTCACTATTGACTTCGGTAAGCACCTTAATCTTGTTGCCGGTGAATTCGGATTGGAATGCTGTTGGCTTGTTCCGTTTCGGTTGAAGTAGTAGATTTATGCAGTTTTGATGATTGTACGCTACGAATCGACTACCAGACTCTGCACGGACAGTAGTTTCTTTTGTCAATTATATCTTCCTAACTTCCTTTTGCCATATGGTTGCATCCGGAAGAGAGTGCAATTTTCTCTTATACTTACCTCCCGGTGGCCAACAAGTGACCGTTTTTCAGTAATTTCTTTTTAGTCTGAAGCATCTGATCAATTTCGCTAAGATTTCCTACTCTATGGCTCAGGGATGCTTGCAAGATGCTTAATTTGATGTATTGTTGATAATGCAATGCAATAAGAACCTATTATGTTGAGCAAATTGGCATTAAACAAGAACATTGTAAAGTTTTGAATTCGGCAGCATGGATGTCTTATAAGGAAAATCAATGAGTCGAAAGTGGTGATGGTTATTTCTGATGTTGATTGCTGAAGTAGATGCCTCTTTCTTACATTGTGTCCATGCTACATTCATTTTTTCCCCGTCATTGTTATTTTTTTCCTGAGTTGCAATCTTTAAAGTTTGATGATTATCTCCTTTGTTTTTGAAGGATTTTAATCCGCAATTCCTGAACTGTAGTTTGGCTTGAGTTCAACATTGTTTGGACAAATGGCTGGCACTGGGGAGAAAAGTGATAAACTTTGTGAGGCTGCTCCTGTTGGTGCGATTGAAAAGAAGCAGGAAAGCCGTGATGAACTGCTAGCCCGGCATAGGTGAGTTGGTTCTCATCCCTAGTCTCCTCTAGTATCTATTTTGCTTTTTATTTCTCCTATTTATTCATAGCATTTTCAACCACATGGTTCGTCGAACTACTTTGCTGTTACACTGAAGGTGAGTTTATGAATGATGAAACAATCTGTGGTAGTACCCAATTGGAACTTGCAAGTTTCAAATATGTTTTGTTATTCTGATTATACATGCATTACTAGTAAATATGAGACCCCTTTTTCATTCTGCTCTTTGCGGCATTGTATTCTATCTTGATTGACAAATTGAAGTAGTCGCCATCATGAGTTTTTTATTTACTGGGGGTAATCTCTTCAGGAAGGAGACAGTAGAGCTGCAGAATAAAGAAACTGAACTCAAGAAGGGGGCTGCAAAAGGGAGCAAAGCGGAACAGAAAGCCAAGAAGAAGGCGGTTGAAGAGGAAATATCCCTACTCTCTGCAAAACTCAAAGAGAAACAGGCGCAGGAGCTCGCTTCATTAGGCTATGTCAACAACACCAATGACATCAATGGCAAAAGCAAACTCGACAATATAGTGATGGCCATAGCCGGGGTCTCTGTTACCGACCATTCAGAAAACAATACAAGGCGAAGCAAAAGTGGGAAGAGGAAAGATAAACGAGCTCAGCAAGAAGTCGAAAGAGAGAAGAGAATTCAAGAAGAGCAGAGCAACCTCGTGAGCGATCGCATGATTGAAGACGAGAAGTTGGGAAGGAAACTGGAGCCCCTTGGGTTGACTGTCAACGAAATAAAACCAGATGGTAACTGCCTCTACCGGGCGGTAGAAGATCAGCTGGCTCTTATGTCTGGTGGGTCTTCTCCATATAACCACCAAGACCTGAGGAAAATGGTGGCAGATTACATGAGGCAGAACTCATCCGAGTTCCTGCCGTTTTTCCTTTCAGAAAATGATGCAGCAGCAGGAGATGATTCTGACAGTTCACTGGCAGATAGGTTCGAGAGCTACTGCGAAGAAGTTGAGTCTACAGCGGCGTGGGGTGGACAACTCGAGCTGGGGGCCTTGACTCACTGCTTGAAGAAGCCTATCATGATATATTCAGGATCCTTCCCTGATGTGGAGATGGGACAGGAATACAAATCCGGTGGTGGAAATGCGTTGTCCAATGGGAAACTCTTAATGCTGTCGTATCATAAGCATGCATTCGGGCTCGGGGAGCACTACAATTCCGTGGTTCCAAACTTGATCAGGTAGGTATTTCTGTATCAGTACTAGTTGTGTTGTGCTTGCAGATTACAGGTATCGGTTTTGGCTACATACTTGATATACATCAATTGTTCAGACATTCTGGTTGTTAAGGCTGTAATCACCAAGTTTACATATAACTGAATCAACATTTTAGTATTACTGGATGATGGGTTGTTCCTTTTGCTTGTTACTTAGCACGGATTGTGAAAACCGATCCAGATTAAACCGTGCTGCCCAAGCGCTAGTGAGCTTGCAAAGTACTTGTGATCACATATCGTTGACACGAACATGATGAATGCAACATGGCTAGAGTCCTGTCCGGATTTCATCGAGCTTCCAAGTCCGTCATTGACACATTATTGATGGAAGGAACTGTTGGTTGAGCTGCTACAGTAGCTAATGACTATGTGTTTAAGCATCATCGAGCTTCCAAGTTGGACATTGCCACATTATTGATGGAGGGAACTGTTGGTCGAGCTGCTACGGCTGATGACTCTGGATCGATGTAGTTGCTATTGGGGATGAATGTTGGCTTCTTGGGAGATGGAAGAGCACTATTTGAATCTCCTAACATGAAAACAACATTTGACATGCCGATATGTTAGATTCCTGAAACGAAAATCATTTAAGGGTCATATTGGTTATTGGTTAATCGAAAATAGATTAGTCTCTTAATGCTTTTGGTTTGATTTGAGATATAAACTTTTGGTTTGATTTGAGATATAAAAAAAAAGTTAAACTCACAACCCTAGCTACAACTAAGTTTTTCTAGTGTCACTTGACTTGTGCTTACCATTCCTTTTGGGTCTTCGAAGCAAGTATAGAATGAAGATCAGTGAGATGAAGGCCACAACTGTATAGGTCAAAACAACTGCTAATCCCTTCCTCTCCCTTGTGTCTGTATGTCCTCCCAACCTTTTTATGGAATCAACTAAAACCACATCCATTAGAATCAGCACTACCAAACTGTAAGAAAATATATTCTGAAGTAAATAAACAAACTTTGGTACATCAATCATGGCTTGTTGAGACATTAATATTGGTCACTAAGTTAGAGGGTGTAGGTCATAAATTAGTTCACCCTAAAAAGGTTTCACCATTATAAAAAGATTATTAAACAAAGAACACAACAATTTTGGTACTCACCTAGCTCGATGGCGTCGACACGTATGTACAAATCTTGACCACCATTAGCGAATACTCTCGTATCTAGCAAATCTCCATATAGTGTCACGCAACCAATCCCACTGGTCAAGTTAGAACTTAAGTAAGCGGTACACGAACAGTTCTTCAAGCACTCTTGTCTGCACGTGCTCAAATCCATACCAGGATTTAATCGTCCGGTCGTGGTATCAGGAACTTTAGCATTTTCCAATTTTACAAACCCTTCTCCATTCCCACAATTCGAATTCATGGGCCGCTTCCTCACACACCCACTAGAGCCATCATTCATTAACCAGTCCGTCGAGATCTTGGGCTTGAATCCAGGAATGCAACTGCACTCAAACTCCCCTGGATCTCTATAAGGGTCACAGTTCCCGTTAGGTCCACAATGTCTGTAGTAGTCGCACGGTTCATTGGGCATGTAAAATGACTCGAACCACTTACCCTGCTGATCATTCCACGCGGCCCACCTCATGTTTCCTGACGGGTGCACGTATATCCTAAATGTGATGGTGGGATCCATGACTCCCCAAACGACAGTTGACTCATTTTCATTGTTGACAACATTCATATCGAAAATTACACCACGCATGGTCGGAACTCCGCTCCATTGCAGGCCATTCCACATGCCACTCCGCCATATTCTAGTTCGACCTTTGTATAACATGAACTGAGGCACCCCGTTCGGGTCCAAGTAATAGGACGAGTCCCCTGATGCAGGGTCGTCAGGGGACTTCCAGGCATGAAGTATCCTATCCATTCCGGTTTTCTGGTCCGACTCTATCTTCATATATGGAAGCACAGAGTCCGTCGGATGATCAAAACTCTGCCACCGCACCTCCTTACCAACACAAAATAACGATTTCATGGTTAGAGATGAACTAATTTGTCCAACTACACTATTGTGCTCAGGGATGTTAATTGAACCCGAACTCACGAGCACACTATCTAACTCAACCCAGTCAAAGTGTATCGATATAACTTAGTGCTGACAGATTTTGGGATCAGTGCAAGTTTTACCCACGTTTGACATTGACGGGTAGGGTCGGGACTGGGTCTTTCCAAAACCCAATCCACTTACCTCCCGGCCCATAACAATAAAGCAAAACGACGCCATTTTTATGAATGTTATTATGACAATATAAACTTAATGAATAATTTATGAATGCTAGTAATTTTATGGAGATATATATTTGGGGAAAAATTTCGATAACATCACGCATTCAAAGAAATAATATATGATCATATTCGTGAACTTGATAATCCACGGGTACCCACGCATTCGTGAGTACCCGTTGAGTTGACTTGGGGTTTTCACTTCTACAATCTAATTGCAGTTAAAGGGTCGTTACCAAAAAATGAATTTGCCAAATGTATAGCCAGTAATCAAAAGATTTGTATTCCACCAGTGCTCGAATAAAACGGATGTTTGAGTATAATGTACCAGATTACTTTCATCCGAAGTCGTCTTTGTGGGTTCTTTTTGAAGCAGAAGGACAAGATTTCCAGCGTCCAATAAACGAGCCATTGACTTGCCACCTGCGCCTGATGACGAAGAAGCAGGGATATTCGTCGACCACAGAGTAGTACTAGTCGAACTGGTTACATTCATTCCTGCGCAGCACCAGAGGACGAGATTGCGCCCAAAATTGTCGAACGAGAGCACTCCGGAAGTGTCGTTGATCGGATTGTCTCTGTTTGCCACCCAAACAACGGTTTGAACTGGAACTTTGGTGTACCAAATTCCCAGATAGCGCTTGCTCGAAGCCCCAGGGCTGAAGAACCCAAGACTGAATTTTTCTCCGCTGGAGACGATCACCTGACCGTCTGCAACAGATTCGTCGAAACTTATGGTGTCTTTCGATGAAAAACAGGGGAGGAGGCAGAGGAGGAAGGCGAGTAACAGAGTGTTCATCGTTTGAGAACTTATGGCGTCTTTAGATGTGGAAGGAGCCAATTATAGTTATGAGAACTTTAAGTTGCGGTTTCCATTGGGCGTTTTTGGGTTACTGTACTAGCTCGATATCTTGTCAATGTCAGGTTTTCATTTGTTTTTTTGTTTCTCGCTTCTCCTTGTTATGGAACTTGTCCGAAGAGAGAGGCAATTGTCGGTATGTATCATTATAGACGGTTTGGTACCAAATGAATCGAGAATTTATTTCATTGTAAAATGAATTACCGTGTAGAATTCATTCTCAAATGAAATTTTGTGTTTGGTATGTCATATTCAAATCTTTAGAAATAAAATATATTGTCGTGTAGAATTCATTATCAAATGAATTCCTGTGTTTGGTATGTTATATTTATAACTAATTCAGTTAATAAAAGAGGATAATTGTATCATTCTATTAAAAATAGTAAATACTTGTGGAATTCATTTGGAAATTTCATCTCAATTCCTCGGAATTGCTATAACTAGTTTCAATTCTGTGGAATTCAAAATTTAGAATTGAAAATGAATTCTTTCAAATACCAAACACAAAAAAATTTCATTTCAAAATAAATTCCTCAAAACTTATGAAATTCATTTATACCAAACGGTATGTTAGCAGATAGCGCACCCAAAGCAGAGATGTGGCCGTACCCTGATATTATGGGGGAAAAGGGCTTAAGATTCTTAGCTAGATTAGAAAATTCCTATACCGAGAACTCCTTTTGTTGTAGCTTGACCCAAAAACAAGATAGCGTATAAAGAAGTGGTTAAGATAGAGTTCACGTGTATGATTTTTATAATAATGTGCAATATAAACAACGGTTTAGCCCAAAGGATGATATGTTCAACCCCTGATCTACAAACTAAAAACTGACAAGTAGGCTTTCACTTGAGTGGGATGTGTAGAAGAAAAGAAATAATTTCCCAACAACGGGAGTTATTGGGACCAACCAAGTTATAACATGATATTAGAATTGGTTTGTATTTGAAGTCACGTATTCAAGTTCGTGCGACCACGAATTTGTCTTAAAACACATGATACGGCGTGTCTATACAATATTTAAAAAAGCGTGCAATTAAATGATTAATATACTCGAGTGATTGACACTAAAGGTAAAGAGGTTGAGGAGAATCATTAATCGTACGCAACAAAAAACCCAATTTTTGCCGTGATAAATTTCACTACCCTTATATTCCTCCCGGCCTAATCGTCCTCACTCGTCATGCTAAAATCGGCGAAATTCCCTTTTGCTCTGAAAAGAATGCAAGTGAAAGGACAAATAAACGAACCAAGATGGGAAAGCTTGTAAGCTTCATGGTTATGATCACAAATCAAAACTCTTAAAGAGGACAAGAAAAGACAAATAAAAGGATCAAGATGGAAAGCTTGTAAACTTCATGGTTGATAATCACAAAGCAAAACTCTTAACTATATATATTCACCCCCAACACTTTCACTCCAAACCATCATCAACTCATCATCATCATCTAACACCTTACCAAAAAAACCAACTCCCAACATTTGGAAAATTTACAAAACCATCATCACCAGTTCACCAACATGCAATCCCTCCTCCTAACACTTGTCTTGCTCGCAACCTCGGCGGCCGCCGCCGAAGCCAAAAGGCCGGCCACCCCCGTCCATTATTCCAAACCGCCTCCACCCGACGGAATGACGTACACCGTCACATGCCACGCCGGCAAGTCGCCGGGAGGACCCGTGTTCCTCAACCACATCGGGGCCGCCGAAGCCAAGCAGGCCATGTCGTCGGCGACCCAGTTCGTGTGGAACATGTTCAACCAGACACATCCCGGCGACCGCCGCAACGTCAAGAAGATCGCGCTCTTCATCGACAACATGAAGGGCGACACCCTCGACGCATATCCGGTAAGCGAAAAAAAAAAAACAAAACTCATACACATTCTTTTCCCAACCACTTCAGTTATTCGGAGTAAGCAGTTTACTTCTTAACATGGTATTATAGCTTTTGATTAAGAGGTTTCAGTTTCAAATTTTAATGACGATCCAATTATAAACAATGGTTTCGTACTAATAAGGATGATATGTTCAACCTATATGCAAACTGAAAGGCTAATGATTTAACAGCACGAGAGATGATATTCAACCCGTGCAAACTGGAAAAAAAAAAAAGAAGGTAAGTGGTCATTTGGACCAGTCAATTTGAATAAACTGCCCCACCCCAAACAATCTTAATATGGTATCAGAGCTTTTGATTAAGAGGTCCAGGTTTTAAATCTTAACGACGACCCCATTATAAACAATAGTTTAGCACTAATAAGAATGATATGTTCGACCTGTACAAATTGAATTGCCTATTAGTTTAACCGCACAAGAGATGATTTTCAACATGATGCAAACTGAAAAAAAGGTAAGGGGGTCGTTTGGATTGGGTCAATTCTAAAACGAGTCAATTCGAATTACCACCCGCCCACCCAAGACCATCGTTACTGTCTCAAAACGAGCGAATTAGAAATTATCCAAGCCAAATCGTTTCATCCAAATTTTATCACTGCCATCCGTCCGAATTCCTCATCCAGACGACCTGCTAAACTCTTTTTTTTTTTTCCAACGACAACTTGACTCATTATTATTGCGACTAAATGGTTTGTTCGTTAACGACACAGGGGAAGAACGAGATCCACGTGAACGCCAACTTCCTGGGGAAGTACAAGGGCAACATCCGGCGGGAGTTCGTCGGGATCGTGTACCACCAGGTGACCAGGGTGTGGCAGTGGACCGGCGGCAAGGACAGAGAAGCCCCCAAAGGTTTGCTGACCGGAATCGCCGAGTTCGTGAGGATGGAGGCGCACTACGGGACGTCGGAGAAGGTGAAGCCAGGGGAAGGCAAGCAGTGGGACCAAGGGTTCGGCGTCACGGCCAGGTTTCTGGCGCACTGCGAGAAGGCGAAGAAAGGGTTCGTCAAGGAGCTGAACAAGAGGATGAGGTACGGCTACACGAAGGCATATTTCTACGATATTTTGGGGAAGCCGGTGGATCAGCTGTGGAAAGAGTACAAGAGTAAGTATCCCAAATATTGAGAGTTTGAGACAATTAAGTTTGTTAGTGGTGTGATGAGAGTGGCGCCGCGGGGAGGAAGAAGAAGAAGAAGGGGGGAAAAGAAGAGTTGGAACTGTTGGTGTTTGTTTGTATTTTTGATGAATTTTTTTTTTGATCATATTGTTCCACTGCTTGAAATAAAATTGAGGTGGTTTGATTTTTTTTTTCTTTCTTTGTTTGCATTTGATAATTGGCGAAGTTTATACAGTAGGCTCGGCTGGTTTCGAGCTTTGTTTCGTTGGGATAATCACGGTTCAAAAGGGCATGCTTGAATTCATAATTAAACGCGTTAGGCAACATATTCATAAAAAAAAAACGCGTTAGGCAACATCGACTCGTCTTGTTTAGAGATTTCACGGTGAACTTAAGAAAACGAAGCAAGGTGTCGCTGATACGTAATTTGGCTAAAAATGGGGATATCGCAATGAACGCCAAAATCATTTTTATATTTCAGTTTTCTTTTCGTAACTAAAATTTGAAATGAAAATAAAACGGTAAATCAATTTTGCAGTCGATCGGAGTATTCCACCGGTCACACTCTCTTTTCTTCATTTTTTTTATTTCTATCATCTTAAATTGGCGGTATCTTTATTGTGGTTGCATTTACATTTTTGTAGCATAAATAAATTCGATTAATAAGATCTACGAGAGGAAACCCATTTTGTTATATTTTGAAATAATAATAAAAAATTCATATGATGAGAGAGCCACTCAAATGGAAGTGATTTATCGTGTACCATTTCTTTCAGGAGATGACTATACCATTATGGAAAGCATGTTTAAAAAGAATAATTAAGTGTTAGTCAATTTGACCAATCACGTTTGGTTAATTGTGGTTTGATTAACTTGACTAATGAGTTTGATTTCGTAAAAATTATTAGGGTGCGTTTGGATAAGTGTATTTTAAATATAAGGTATTTGAAATACTAGCATTTGAAATGAATGTATTTGAAATATTAGCATTTGAAATACATGTAATTCAAATTCATTGTTTGGATACTCTTTTGTAATTTGTTTGTATTTTGTATTTTACGATTTTCAATTTGAATTTTTAAATTTCTGGTAACTTACTACAAGTTTTGGTAAATTACAGTTTGGTACCCAAATTAATTTTTTCTTACAATTTAGTACCTAAAATTTTAAAATTTTACAAAAAGGTCCTGAAATTTTGATGGTAAAATTACATTTTGGTACATTTATATGTTTTTCCTCACACTATAGTACCTAAACTTTTCATATTTTACAAATAGATCCAATTTTTTGTTAGGAGGTATTTCAAATCACTAGTTGTTGAAATGTATTTGAAGTTGACAAAAAATACACTAGACATGTATTTGGAAATCACCCCATGAATTTGACACAAATCCAAATACCAAATGTAATTAATATCCAAACACATGATTTAGTATTTGGAAATCCAAATCACAAATATCAAATCCAAATTATTGTATCCAAACACACCCTTAGTGAATTTGGTTTTTAAATAGTTTGATTTGTGAATTGTGATAGACAACTCTCTATTAACTAATTAACCAAAGGACTCTTTCGCAAAGGTTCTCGTACGACGACTCATCTTTCCGGCGGCCAAAGCATATTTTCAGTTGGTAGTTAGTTTAAAACAGCTTTATACCTTTTGTGTCTTTTTTTCTCTTATATGGATAGATTATCGTAATGAATTCACGCCGGCAGATTCCACAAAGAAAACTTCCAAGAATATGCATATATGGTTGAAGACGTACGTCTCCGAATATACACATGTGATCAAAACAAGGATTGGGGGTTAGAACTTTGAAGGACACATCCATCAACGTTTTCCATCAATGTATATATATATTTGATCCAATTCCCACAAAAAAAAAAAAAAAAGTGGATCCATCTTTCCTCAATTCCTTCCCCTTTTTCAATCAATTTGTGGTTCGATTATGGGAAAACAAACTATTCTTCACTCTGGTGTGCGCACCGCATTGCTCGTGGCGTTCATGCGTAAGTCTCGATTTCTGAAAACCTTAACATACTCTTGGATATCGAGTACTTCTAGTGGCTGATTTGGTGGCCGTTAGGATGTACTTCGATGAATGAGATTGTTGATCATTGTTTTTTTTTTTTTATCGAATTGATCTTAAGATTTAGAGAATTAATTAGAGTTAAGGTTTAGTAATTGCTCGTAAATTATCTTCCATAAGCCAAAAATGATTTATCGGCATATCCGTGCAGTGACGTTACTAGTGCAAGGAACGGAGGCCGGCGGTGGACGTGATGAAGGCGAAGCATCACCGGAGATGTACCGGCCGGCGAATAGCCGGCGACTCAATGGCGGCGGTCGATGCAAGTGTAACGCGGATTGTAGAGGGTATAGCTGTTCGTGTAAGGATAAAGCTGCCATTTGTTCCCAGAGAGTCTGTTGGTGTGCTGCTTGCTTTTGAAACCATTGTCAATGCTTGATTGATTCTGTAGCCGCTTTAGCAAAGCCCAACAGCGAATAGCAAATGGAAACAAATAAATACCCGGGGTTCATCTCATCCGCTTCTACATCATGTGTTGAAAAATAATGTACCACTCTTTTTCATCAAATAATAAGGAAGATCTGAATTTCCGAGATAGAAAAGAAGAAATCTATTGATTTGGATGTTCGAAACCACGTAGTTGTTTATAGTGATGACAATTTGAACCCTTCCCGTGGGTATTATCTGACCCGACTCGTGATGGGGCAGATATTAACCGGTCTGCAGTAGCATGGGGTAGGTATGGGTATCTATTTTTGACCCGCCCCGCCCCGCACCGTTCTAGACTCATTTTATCTAAATTTTTTTTATAGATAAGGGTGATATAGGTTTATCCTATTTTGACTTTTTTTCAACTAGTTAGAGTCGATTTTTCAACTTGTTAGACTCAATTATCCATTCTATTATTTGTATATTTAATTCATAAAGTATTTTTTCATTCGTTTTATCGTGAAAAGTAAAATTTGCTCGTATTTCTTCAAATAACATATAAGTGTAGATCGAATCGACCCGTCCCGCCCCGGCACCCTGTACCCGCGCAAATTTTACCCACCCCAACCCGTAATAACATAAGAAGAAGCATGAGAATTGAGGTACCCGGCCCACCTCGTCCCACCGCCCATTGCCATCACCAGTTGTTTAGTTAAACATAACTAATACAGCTTGACTTTTTGCTTATTGTTTTCTTATAATAAATGGATGGCACGCCGGCCGATTCTACTACATAGAGGGTTAGAGCCTTAGAGGTTTATATACAACATTTTCCTAAACCTTACACAAAATGAGCAAAAACAGGCCCCAAACGGAAAACAAATAGGTAAAGCCCACATAATGTGGATCGAGGGCATTGGCCCAAATCGCCCAAATTAAGGATCTTTGTCCTAGTCCATACGCCCTGACATGTTAGCCCAACAACGAAGCCAATTTCAGGCTGCGGACCAAAAGACGTAAATGACAATAGCTCAGTTTGGCCCTGCTGTAGCTTTTGGAGAAGCAGCTTCTGGCTGTAGCTTTTAGAGAAGTACTTTTCAAAAAAAGCAGTTGAGTGTTTGGCTGAAAAACTATTAGAAGTGCTTTTTAATATGAGAGGTTATGTAAAATGACTATAAAGGATTTAAAATATAAAATATGAATAAAAATTATAAACAATAAAAAGTAGTCAATATGGATCTTGTTAGATTTCTTTTATATTAAATAATATGATTTTATAATTTATTTTATTTTTATAATGATTGAAATGAAATAAAATTATATTTTCTGAAATAAGATTAAAATATGGTAAGGATAATTTTGTATTTTCAGAACAGCTTTTCGCAGAAGCTCCAAATCGGAGCTTCTGCTTTTATGTTATACAAAAGCACTTTTCAGCTTTTCAAAAGCCGAGCTTTTAGAGGTGTTTGGCCCTGCTTCAGCTTTTGAATACTCCTAATCACAAAAAATTAAATATATAAATTACCGGGAAAAAATAAATATATATAAAAAGTATGATATATTCATAACACCATGATATATTTTCTTACCATCACAATATAATATAATATAATATAGATGGATTGGTTATAGGTATAATATGCCCCTCTACTATGACGTTTTATCAAACATGCTCCTATACTATTTTTTACATCAAACATGCCCTATACTTTGATAAAATGATCAAACATGCTTTTCTGCTAAAATTTCCATTAAAAAATCGTCAATCATGTATGAACCGAGATTTAGATGACCCAACATTGGCAAATGGGAGGGAAAATATCAATTTTGTCCCCGTTTTATTTCTCTAGGTCTCTTTAAAGTGAAATTATTTAGCTATAAAAAATAACCAAAAAAATTTCAAAGTGAAATTATTAGGGATATTTTAGACATTTGTGTCGCCCAAACCAAAGTTCGGCGTTGGTTAACTGTTTTTGGATGAAAATTTTAACAAAAAGGTATGTTTGATAATTTTTACAAAGTACAAGGCATATTTGATGTAAAAAAATAGTAAAAGGGCATATTATACCTATAACCCTAGATGGATAATATTTGTCTCATTTTTTCTTCTAATATATGAGACTAGTTGTCATTATTAAAACGACGAGCACTTTTTTTCTTCAAAAATTTTAATTCTGAACTACGTCCAAAATCATCTTCATAAATGCCATATGTATGTATGTTTACATATTAAAGAAATTCATCACAAATTTTTTTATAAAGTAATTTTACTATCTAGATAATAAATAAAAGCCGAATGATGAAAACTGTTGCTCCATTTCAAATTTCCTGCAACGAGAGTGATTATAGGAAGGACATTTTGGTCTTCACAATTACTTATTTTCTTATTTATTTATTCATAAAAAAGGCATGCACTGGGATTTGAACCTTGGTCTCTTTAAAGGCAAGCAAGGACCATAACCAATCACACCAAGTATATTTGTTGTATCTATTTAAATTCAAACATACACGAACCTAAATTATGAAAATCATATGACTTTTTTAACGAT